TTGAGGTCAGGACTCTGTGCAGGGTCAGTCAAGTTCCTCCCCCCAAACTGGCTCCTCCATATCTTTATGGACCTTGCTTTGTGCACTGGTGCGCAGTTATGTTGGAACAGGAAGGGGCCATCCCCAACTCTTCCCACAAAGTTGGGAACATGACATTGTCCAAATTATCACCTTAAGAGTTCCCTTCACTGGAACTAGGGGGCCAAGCCCAACCCCTGAAAAACAACCCCACACCATAATCCCCCCACCCACCAAACTGTACACTTGGCACAGTGCAGTCAGGCAAATACCATTCTCCTGACAACTGCCAAACCCAGACACGTCCATCAGATTGCCAGACAGAGAAGTGTGATTCATCACTCCAGAGAACATGTCTACTGCTCTAGAGTCCAGTGGCCTGAATCCAATGAATTGGAGGGGTGTCCCACTTTTGGCAATATAGTGTATCTCAAAGTTCAATGGTGTCAGTGGGAACTTATCTGAGAGGCAGAAATTGCTCATTGCTTAATGAATCCCTAGCAACCTCCAGAGGAATCCTAGGGATCCATGGAACCTTGGTCAAGAAAGGCTGCGGTATGTGTATAAACGTTTTAAACATATAGGTTATTTTGATATTTGCCCTCTGATAGCAGTACAATTTACATACAATACAGGTGAAACTCCAAAAATTTGAATATCATGCAAAAGTTCATATATTTCAGTAATGCAACTTAAAAGGTGAAACTAATATATGAGATAGACTCATTACAAGCAAAGCAAGATAGTTCAAGCCGTGATTTGTCATCATTGTGATGATTATGGCTTACAGCTCATGAAAACCCCAAATCCACAATCTCAGAAAATGAGAATATTGTGAAAAGGTGGAATATTCTCGGCTCAAAGTGTCCCACTCTAATCAGCTCATTCAGCCATAACACCTGCAAAGGGTTCCTGAGCCTTTAAATGGTCTCTCAGTCTGGTTCAGTAGGAATCACAATCATGGGAAAGACTGCTGACCTGACACCATCACTGACACCCTCCATAAGGAGGGAAAGCCTCAAAGGGTAATTGCAAAAGAAGTTGGATGTTCCCAAAGTGCTGTATCAAAGCACATTAATAGAAAGTTATGTGGAAGGGAAAAGTGTGGAAGAAAAAGGTGCACAAGCAGCAGGGATGACCGCAGCCTGGAGAGGATTGTCAGGAAAAGGCCATTCAAAAGTGTTGGGGACTTTCACAAGGAGTGGACTGAGGCTGGAGTCAGTGCATCAAGAGCCACCACACACAGACGGATCCTGGACATGGGCTTCAAATGTTGTATTCCTCTTGTCAAGCCACTCCTGAACAACAAACAACGTCAGAAGCGTCTTACCTGGGCTAAAGAAAAATAGACCTGGTCTATTGCTCAGTGGTCCAAAGTCCTCTTTTCTGATGAGAGCAACTTTTGCATCTCATTTGGAAACCAAGGACCCAGAGTAAGGAGGAAGAATGGAGAGGCCCAAGGACCCCGAGTATGGAGGAAGAATGGAGAGGCCCAAGGACCCCGAGTATGGAGGAAGAATGGAGAGGCCCAAGGACCCCGAGTATGGAGGAAGAATGGAGAGGCCCAAGGACCCCGAGTATGGAGGAAGAATGGAGAGGCCCAAGGACCCCGAGTATGGAGGAAGAATGGAGAGGCACAATGACCCCGAGTATAGAGGAAGAATGGAGAGGTACAAGGACCCCGAGTATGGAGGAAGAATGGAGAGGCACAAGGACCCAGAGTATGGAGGAAGAAATGGAGAGGCACAAGGACCCCGAGTATGGAGGAAGAATGGAGAGGCACAAGGACCCCGAGTATGGAGGAAGAATGGAGAGGCACAAGGACCCCGAGTATGGAGGAAGAATGGAGAGGCCCAAGGACCCCGAGTATGTAGGAAGAATGGAGAGGCCCAAGGACCCCGAGTATGGAGGAAGAATGGAGAGGCACAAGGACCCCGAGTATGGAGGAAGAATGGAGAGGACCAAGGACCCCGAGTATGGAGGAAGAATGGAGAGGCACAAGGACCCCGAGTATGGAGGAAGAATGGAGAGGCACAATGACCCCGAGTATGGAGGAAGAATGGAGAGGTACAAGGACCCCGAGTATGGAGGAAGAATGGAGAGGCACAAGGACCCAGAGTATGGAGGAAGAATGGAGAGGCACAAGGACCCCGAGTATGGAGGAAGAATGGAGAGGCACAAGGACCCCGAGTATGGAGGAAGAATGGAGAGGCACAAGGACCCCGAGTATGGAGGAAGAATGGAGAGGCCCAAGGACCCCGAGTATGTCGAAGAATGGAGAGGCCCAAGGACCCCGAGTATGGAGGAAGAATGGAGAGGCACAAGGACCCCGAGTATGGAGGAAGAATGGAGAGGACCAAGGACCCCGAGTATGGAGGAAGAATGGAGAGGCACACACTGCAAGATGCTTGAAGTCCAGTGTGAAGTTTCCACAGTCTGTGTTGATTTGGGGAGCCATGTCATCTGCTGGGGTTGGTCCACTGTGCTTCATTAAGTCCAGGGTCAAAACAGCCGTCTACCAGGAGATTTTGGAGCACTTCATGCTTCCTTCCGCAGACCAGCTTTATGGGGATGCTGACTTCATTTTCCAGCAGGACTTGGCTCCGCCCACACTGCCAAAAGCACCAAAACCTGGTTCAAAGACCGTGGGATTACTGTGCTTGATTGGCCAGCAAACTCGCCTGACCTGAACCCCATAGAGAATCTATGGGGCATTGCCAAGAGAAAGAAGAGAGACATGAGACCGAACAATGCAGAAGAGCTGAAGGCCGCTATTGAAGCATCCTGGTCTTCCATAACACCACAGCAGTGCCACAGGCTGATAGCTTCCATGCCACGCCGCATTGAGGCAGTAATTGCTGCAAAAGGGGCCCAAACCAAGTACTGAGTACATATGCAGCTTCTACTTTTCAGAGGTGCGATATTGTTCTATGTACAATCCTTGTTTTATTGATTGCATGGAATATTCTCATTTTCTGAGATTGTGGATTTGGGGTTTTCATGAGCTGTAAGTCATAATCATCACAATGATGACAAATCACGTCTTGAACTATCTTGCTTTGCATGTAATGAGTCTATCTCATGTATTAGTTTCACCTTTTAAGTTGCTGCACTGAAATAAATGAATGAATGCACCATATTCTAATTTTTTGAGTTTCACCTGTATATACATCGCAACCCATCATATTACAGTACTATAAGGGCTCGCTCACATGAGCTTTGCACTCTGAAGAGAAATCTGCATTCTGATTGCTGTTCATAGAGCATTTCACTTGCGGTTAGGAGGCGCTGTATGGGCTCTCCACCATTTGCTTTACTCTCTTGAATTCCATTTTAGCACACTGCAACCATGTGCATTGAATGTGATTTTGGGGTGCTTGCAAAGTGGCCCCCATTCACTTGAATGGGTCGCATCTTGTGGGCGCAATGCTTGCTGCAACCAACAGGGGGTATAATTTCTGCTATGCCCTGAAGCAAAGCATCTCAACTGCAGCATATGTACAGCTCTGGCTGCTGGCTCTACAGCTAAAGGGGTAATGGTTGGGAGGTGGTAAAACTGCAGCTCAGTTACAGTGTTACTGCTTCCCAACCTCATGTGCGAATTAACTCTTACAATACTTTACACAGGAAGCTGCCTTTCTATGCATATTATGCATGTTAGGGGTAGCACAGTGGCTTAATGGTTAGCACTTCCGTTAAAAACGTGCATTTTTCAGCGTTTTTGTATTAGTATTTAGTGGCATCGCAAAAAATGGCCTGATCAGGAAGGGGGGTAAATCCTCTGGAGGGCAAGTGGTTAAAATGACACAACAGAAAAGTGGCAGTGCTAAACAGCAAAAAAAAGCTAACATCTGATTGGTTACTTCTGGACCACCTGCCCGTAATGTAATGCACATGGGCGGCCTGTGTATGCAAAGCAATGTAGTCGTACGTTGCTTTTTGGTTTAGGGCGTGCACATGTGCGTTTCCTCGCCCACACCCGCTGTGATTGTACACAGCAGGAGTTAGTCAGCAGGTCCCGGCCAATGATTCATGGCCGGGACCTGCTGATCGGCTTTGTCCAATCACAGCCCAGAGCTCTGTGTTGACAATCAACGCAGAGCTCTGTACAGAGGAAACAATCTCTCTGTTTCTTATCTCTGCAAAACAGAAATAGGAAACAAAGAGATGACTTAGTAAAAGCAGTACATAGTATACACATTACACATTGTTGGGCACACACATTAACCCCTAATCGACCTGTTAATCCCAGCCAGTGTCATTAGTACTGTGTATAGTATTATTACTGATCACTGTATTACTATCACTTGTGATGTCAGTGGCAGCTAGTCAGTTCCCCCCAGCATCAGTTAGTGTCAGATTTCCCTCTCAGGCTTATTAGAAGTCGCTGATCACCGCCATTAGTATAAAAAAAAAAAACAAATAAATAAAAACTCCAATATGTATCCCATGGTTTGTAGATGCTATAACTTTCACGCAAACCAATCAATCTACAATTATTGGAGGTCGTTTTTACCAAAGACATGTAGCAGAATACATTTTGGCCAAAATTTATAAAGAAATGTGATTTTTTTTTTTTTTTTTTTTTTTTTATTGGATGTGTTTTATAGCAGAAAGTAAAAAAAAAATTTTTTTTTTTTTCAAAATTTTTGGTCTTCTTTCATTTATATCGCACAAAAATAAAAAAAACCCAGTGTGGTCAAATACCAGAAAAAAGATCTATTTGTGTGAAAAATTTATTTAAATTTTATTTGGGTATAGCACTGCATGACTGCGCAATTGCCAGTTAAAGTAGCGCAGCGCTGTATAGCAAAAAATGGCCTGGATAGGCAACTTTCCTGCATTCCAGGTATTTACACAAATAAATGTTTTCTATATTTAAGTATAATTCCTAACAATAGGCATTTTGTGTCTAGAGTTCCCCGAGAAGGCCGTCCAGTATGAAATTTTTTGGAGCTGAACAGTCAGAAGATGGGGTCAGGATGGACAAACGGCTGCCGGCGCGGTCACTGTCTGACATCGGCGATCACATGGGCATGGCCGCCTCTGCTAGGTAACAATCCTGGAGTTCTTTCTCTAAGGCTGCATTCACTGTAGTGTGAGAACGTGCTTACAATCGCTCAACTTTGCACTCATTCGTGAAAAAATGTGTTGCTTGGGGTGTTACTCATTGGTAATGTGATCGTTCATTAAAACGTTTGGACCCATATTGGTGATCCTCGGTGTGCTGGTGACATTCTCCCTCTCTGTTCGGTTCCAGCCGACGGTCGCTGCAGCACCCACTTATACACACAGCCATTTTTAACGCAGGAACGTGTGCGTTGGATTGTACACTTACTCATTGGTAATGGCACCCAAACACAGCAAGCAGATGTGTACTCTTTCGGGCAAGAAAATGCACAACAAATGCAGCAAACCATGTGGTCAAAAAATGTACAAAGCTGTAAGCTCAATAATGTGCATGAGCTTTTCTGCCGCATTTGTCCGCATGGGCCATTGAGAATGCAGGAGCACAACTGGTGGACAGGGACAGGGTGTTGTCACTTTAAAAGAGGAAACACCAGAGCAAAGACATTCATGGCGGGATCACCAGAGATTATTCAAATGAAAATTGCAGATTTAAAATATTGAAAATGACTTCTCCAACTCTGGGAAATGTGAAAATTCCTTCTTGGAGTGGGGTTGCGCCTGCACTGCAAGGGTCAACTGTTGACTTATGCAGGCCATAGATGGGGAGAAAACCGGACGATTTTTCTTTAAAAAAGCGAAAAATCGGTCGTTCAAACGGCCGACGTTACCAGGAATGGTAAAAAAATCGGCCGATTTTCATCCCGTCTACAGCTGGCAAAAAGTGTCCCTGCAGAGAGTTCCGCTATTTCTTTGACAGTGCTTTGACATTTATAGCGGTTGCAACAATGTATCTATTTGTATCCATTTCGGATACAGATGTTTTTATTCGGAAACAAATAGATACATTGTTGCAGCCGCTATAAACGTCAAAGCACTGTCAAAGAAATAGCGGAGCTCTCTGCAGAGACACTTTTTGCCGGACTGGAATTCTTCTTCTTCATCCTCTTCCTCTTCTTCTTCATCTTCTTCTTCTTCTTCTTCCTCTTCTTCTTCCTCTTCTTCATCCTCTTCTTCTTCTTCTTCTTCCTCTTCTTCTTCTTCCTCTTCTTCCCCTTCTTCCTCTTCCTTTTCTTCTTCATCCTCTTCTTCTTCATCCTCTTCTTCTTCCTCTTCTCCTCCTCTTCTTCCCCTTCTTCCTCTTCCTTTTCTTCCTCTTCTTCATCCTCTTCTTCCTCTTCTTCATCCTCTTCTTTATCCTCTTCTTCTTCTTCATCCTCTTCTTCTTCTCTTCTTCTTCTTTCATCATCATCCTCTTCTTCTTCTTCATCCTCTTCTTCTTCTTCTTCTTCTTCTTCACCCTCTTCTTCATCTTCTTCATCTTCTTCATCCTCTTCTTCATTCTCTTCTTCTTTATCCTCTTCTTCTTCTTCTTCTTCTTCTTTATCCTCTTCTTCTTCATCATCCTCTTCTTCTTCTTCTTCATCCTCTTCTTCTTCTTCATCATCTCTTCTTCCTCTTCTTCATCCTCTTCTTCTTCATCCTCTTCTTCATCCTCTTCTTCTTCTTCATCCTCTTCTTCTTCTTCATCCTCTTCTTCTTCATCCTCTTCTTCATCCTCTTCTTCTTCTTTTGCTTCTTCTTTTTGTCTTCCTCTTGCAGTTCACTGCTCATGCGCAGATTTTTTTATCGGTAAAAAGATCGGCCAATTTGCTCATAATTGCCGCGAAAATCGGCTGATCTTTTTCCAACTTTACTGATAAAAAAATCTGCCAAAATACCAAAAAAACGGCCGAACAATTAAGCCACTAACGATCCGAAAATCGGCCGATTTTCGACCCATCTATGGCCTGCATTAGTCTAGGGGAAAGTAACATCACTTTTACTTACCTGATCCTCCACTCCCCCAGCAGACGGAGCTCCCCAATACTGTCGTTCAACATCATCACGACAAGTGCAGGCCTATAGATATTTTTAGTTGTAAAAACAAACAGAATACAAAGTAACAAAACTGTAACCATCATAAAAATAAAACTCATGAAAATAACAACAATGTAACAACTGCTTACATATTCTTCAGGTCAGAAACTCAGCAGTTTAAATTAAATGAAAGCTACGCATAGAATTTTGATGCTATAAAATATATTCCATCCCATAATTTTTTTATTTCTCCAATATTTCTTTAGTTCTAAACTCTTTATCCACCTCAGCTCTGAGAGGAGAATGCAGGGCTATGGACCCTGCTCTGGTCTTGATATCAGGACCTTAGTGTGCTGGAACTTGGGTGGAGAAGAAGATGCGGGCACCGGTCTAACAGTGCGGAGGATCTAATAAGTAGATCTCCTTTTCTATGTTCCCGTAGACACCTAAATGAGCATGAAATGAAGAGTGATCCATGTTTGGCTCTCTTTTCAGATGGCCTTTGACAAGCAGTGAAGAGGCGCCTGGTTCAACCCTATAATTCCACAAATCAGCGCCGTATTGGACGCGGTTGTGGCACAGCCTTGTTGAACTCCGTGTGCGAGTCTGATAAGCAGTGCTTTCTGCAATCCGAATGAAAACATTTGCAGATGTGTAGCAAAGCATTGCAGCTGAGGCATGTGTACAGCTCCATCCAGCTGTTATTGTACAGTTTCAGTGGGCAATTGGGGGGTAAATCATGGCTCAGCTGCCCATTCTTTACTGCCCACATAAATAGAATCATTTTTAAGTTTCCTGGAGTTGGGCTTTACATTTTCTTTATTTCTTCATTGGATTATATGAGATTTTGGTGAAATTTTAGCTGTTGTGTTTATATAACTACTTCCAAGTGTATTTCTTTTTTTTTTTTTTGAAAGAATGACGAAGGGTTGATCCTCTGTCATGTATTATTGCTGTCTGGGTCTGCAAGGTTTTAACCCTTTCTGACTTATATAATAATGTTTGTGTCTCATTAGAGATATCCCCACAATCACGAGGAGAGGAAGTAAGGCGACATCTACCCAGTGGGGACACAGCAGTAATAAATACCTGACAGAGTTTCCAACCCTCCCCCAATCTATCCCAAATAAAAGTCCACCTATTTCTATTCCCTTGTAATGACTTGTAGGACAGAATATGCTGATTCTGCTTGAGTCCACTCTGATATTTTTATATTACCTCTTATTTTATCTCCGAAAGCAGGACAGTTTCCAGACTGGGACACGAGCTAGTAGAGGCTGTGGATGCTTCACCTTCTGTCCTCAATATGGCGTCTTCATCTGGAAGGTGCGATACGAACACATCACATCCAAGTACTGCTGGGAATTCTCTATTTGCACTGTTGTGTTCATGAGACCGTCGTTATTATTATTATACAGGATTTATATATATTATTATTATTATACAGGATTTATATATTATTATTATTATTATTATACAGGATTTATATATATTATTATTATACAGGATTTATATATTATTATTATTATACAGGATTTATATATTAATATTATTACACAGGATTTATATATATTATTATTATTATTATACAGGATTTATATATATTATTATTATACAGGATTTATATATATTATTATTATTATACAGGATTATATATATTAATATTATTACACAGGATTTATATATATTATTATTATATTATTTATACAGGATTTATATATATTATTATTATACAGGATTTATATATATATTATTATACAGGATTTATATATTAATATTATTACACAGGATTTTATATATTATTATTATTATTATACAGGATTTATATATATTATTATTATACAGGATTTATATATTATTATTATTATACAGGATTTATATAGCGCAAACAGTTTGCTCAGCGCTTTACAATATAATGAGAGACAATACAGCAACAATACAGTTCTATACAAGAAGGATAGGAGGGCCCTGATCCTGGGAGCTTACAATCTAGGAGGGAGGGGCTAGTGGTACAAAAGGTAGTAACTGTGGGGGATGGACTGGTAGGAGGAATAGAAGATTCCATTATTAGCTGAGGGCAGGATAGGCTTCCCTGAAGAGAGAGGTTTTCAGAGATCGCCTAAAAGTGAGCAGAGTAGGCGATAGTCTGATAAACTGGGGTAGAGAGTTCCAGAGGATGTGGGAAGCTCTGGAGAAGTCCTGGAGACGAGCATGGGAGGAGGAGACAAGGGAGCTAGAGAGCAGGAGGTCTTGTGAGGGGCGGAGAGTATGGTTTGGGTGATATTTGGAGACAAGATCGGTGATGTAATTTGGGGCAGTTATAAACGGCTTTATATGTTATTGGTAATGTTTTGAATTTTATCCTTTGGGAAATGGGAAGCCAGTGGAGGGATTGACAGAGAGGGGTGGAGGACACTGAGTGGAGGCCATTGGAGGGATTGGCAGAGAGGGATGGAGGACACTGAATGGAGGCCAGTGGAGGGATTGGCAGAGAGGGGTGGAGGACACTGAGTGGAGGCCAGTGGAGGGATTGGCAGAGAGGGATGGAGGACACTGAGTGGAGGCCAGTGGAGGGATTGGCAGAGAGGGGTGGAGGCCAGTGGAGGGATTGGCAGAGAGGGATGGAGGACACTGAGTGGAGGCCATTGGAGGGATTGTCAGAGAGGGATGGAGGACACTGAATGGAGGCCAGTGGAGGGATTGGCAGAGAGGGGTGGAGGACACTGAGTGGAGGCCAGTGGAGGGATTGGCAGAGAGGGATGGAGGACACTGAGTGGAGGCCAGTGGAGGGATTGGCAGAGAGGGGTGGAGGCCAGTGGAGGGTTTGGCAGAGAGGGATGGAGGACACTCAGTGGAGGTCAGTGGAGGGATTGGCAGAGAGGGATGGAAGACACTGAATGGAGGCCAGTGGAGGGATTGGCAGAGAGGGGTGGAGGCCAGTGGAGGGATTGGCAGAGAGGGATGGAGGACACTGAGTGGAGGTCAGTGGAGGGATTGGCAGAGAGGGATGGAGGACACTGAGTGGAGGCCAGTGGAGGGATTGGCAGAGAGGGGTGGAGGACACTGAATGGAGGCCAGTGGATGGATTGGCAGAGAGGGTGGATGACACTGAATGGAGGCCAGTGGAGGGATTGGCAGAGAGGGGTGGAGGACACTGAATGGAGGCCAGTGGAGGGATTGGCAGAGAGGGGTGGAGGACACTGAATGGAGGCCAGTGGAGGGATTGGCAGAGAGGGGTGGAGGACACTGAATGGAGGCCAGTGGAGGGATTGGCAGAGAGGGGTGGAGGACACTTAATGGAGGCCAGTGGAGGGATTGGCAGAGAGGGGTGGAGCACACTGAGTGGAGGTCAGTGGAGGGATTGGCAGAGAGGGATGGCTGATACGGAATGATTAGTAAGGTGGATGAATCTGGCAGCAGTATTCATGATCGATTGAAGTGTATCTAAACCCAGGAACACGGGCGCACACAAGGCTTGGTATGTTGGGTATCTATTTACTCTACGCAACCTCATCTTTTATATTTTACCAACATCTGGGTATTATAGTGTGTTACTGTGCATTAAAATGTATTATATTATATTTTTCCTAGAAATATGCGTTTGATAAACAACTCTGCAGATGTCATGCAACATAAATAAATGCAGCTGCTACCATTTTATTCTCCAGGGCCTCTTCTTTCAGAAAATATATAATGTTTGGGGGTTCTAATTATTATGTAAGAAAAAATTTAGATTTGAACCTGTGTGTGAAAATTGTAAAAATTGCCCCGGACACAAAGGGGTCAAACAGCGATGGAGTTGTTTAAGGAATTTAGGCAACAAATGCACATTAAAGGAGTATGGTACACCCGTGTTTAGGGCCGGTTCAAACCATGAATCGCACAAGAATGTGCTGTGTGTTCCTGCGTGATTCGTACACAATCTAGGTGCAGTGCAATTTCACCCTATTTATTTGAATGGGCTGAAATTACTTTATAAAACGCACAGGAACTGGATTGTGTCCTGTTATCCGGTGCAGTCTAATGCATTGCGTTTGCAACCTGTGCACAATCCAGGTGTTAAGTTGACATTGACACCCACTGCAGATCACAAGTGCAGTGCGTTTTGAACGCGGTGTGGGAAACATGCCCAGAGCATGGGTTTCCCGCACTGCATACTGGTGTGAACTGGCCCTTATGCAGGCCATTGATGGGTCGAAAATCGGCCGATTTTTCGGCCGAAAATAAAATCGGCCGATTTTCGGATCGTTAGTGGGCGATTTGGTCGGGGCCGATTTTCGGTATTTTGGCCGTTTTTTTTTTTTTTCGGTAAAGTTGGAAAAAAATCGGGCCGATTTTGCCGATCGGCCGATTTTCGCAGGCAATTAGTGGGCGAATTCGGCCGATTTTTTACCGATAAAAAAACTGCGCATGAGCAGTGACCTGCAAGAGGAAGACAAAAAGAAGAAAAAGAAGAAGAGGAAGAGGATGAAGAAGAGGATGAAGAAGAGGAAGAAGAAGAGGATGAAGAAGAAGAGGATGAGGATGAAGAAGAAGAGGATGAGGATGAAGAAGAAGAAGAAGAAGAAGAGGAGGAGGATGAGGATGATGAAGAAGAAGAAGAGGATGAGGATGAAGAAGAAGAAGAGGATGAGGATGAAGAAGATTTGAGGATGAAGAAGAGGATGAGGATGAAGAAGAAGAAGAGGATGAGATGATGAAGAAGAAGAAGAAGAGGATGAGGATGAGGAGGAAGAAGAAGAGGATGAAGAAGAAGAGGATGAGGATGAAGAAGAAGAAGAGGATGAGGATGAAGAAGAAGAGGATGATGAAGAAGAAGAGGATGATGATGATGAAGAAGAAGAGGATGAGGATGAAGAAGAGGATGAGGATGAAAAAAAGAAGAAGAAGAAGAGGATGAGGATGAAGAAGAAGAGGATGAGGATGAAGAAGATGAGGATGAGGATGAAGAAGAGGATGAGGATGAAGAAGAAGAAGAAGAGGATGAGGATGAAGAAGAAGAGGATGAGGATGATGAAGAAGAAGAAGTAGGATGAAAATAAGAATAATTCCAGTCCAGCAAAAAGTGTCCCTGAAGAGAGCTCTGCTATTTCTGACAGTTCCTTGACATTTACAGCGGTTGAAACAATGTATCTATTTGTTTCCGAATAAAAACATCTGTATCCTAAATGGAAAATAAATAGATACAATGTTTCAACCTCTGTAAATGTCAAGGAACTGTCAGAAATAGCAGAGCTCTCTTCAGGGACACTTTTTGCTGGCTGTAGAAGGGATGAAAATCGGCCCGATTTTTTTTACCATTGATGGCAACGTCGGCCGCTTGAACGACCCGAATTTTGTTTTTTTTTAAAAGAAAAATCTGCCGTTTTTCTCCCCATCTATGGCCTGCATTAGGGTGTAACATGTAGCATTTTCCTGCACCCCCTGAGCCCCCCTTCTCCATGACAGTGGGCAGGGGTTCTTTTCCTTCGCAGCCACTGTCACATTTAAAGTGGAGTTCCCAGCCATTTTTGTGTTTATTAAAAGTCAGCAGCTACAAAAAACTGTAACTGCTGACTTTTAATAAACACACACTTACATAGCTGGGTGCCCTCTGTGCATGCGCAAGTCCCGCTGCACCTCCTGATTGGTCCGGCAGTCTTTTGGGACCTGTGAATGTTCCCAGGAGACGGCGGGAAGAAGGAGGGGGGGGCCAACTGAGCCCATAGTTTTGACAGGTACCCACTCCCCCACCAAAAGGTGCCAAATATGCCAGTGAAGGGGGGGAGGAGGTCAGGGCTGCTTTCAGAAACTACGGGGGGCCCCATACAGCCAACGTGACAGGTCCCCCAAATAAATAGTTTACTATGCTTCAGTTATGAATGAACACAGTGAGTGATTGGTGCTAATCATTCAGGAAAGCAAGTGGTGGTAAATGTGACATATTTGTGGACCCTTCCCCCATTCTTCATCCTAAGGATCCTATAGTGTGTTTGCAGCTGGGAAGGAGAGAAGCCGACAGCATTATGGGGGGGGGGACTTGGGCAGCATGGGGAAATGTATGGTGCACCAGGAGGTGCTGCAGAGAGCCATACAGGAGATCAGTTCCATCAATTGCCCCCCTCCCCCCTGCTGTGCAGATCACCCTCTCTGCCCACATCCGATTCACCCAGCTGCTTGGGCCCCCCTGCTAGTTTGAGCCCCGTACAGGAGGACCAGTGGTAACCCCTTATCCATGGCCCTGGAGGAGGCAAACAAGCGGACCTTCCACTTTTGGGTGGAACTCCGCTTTAAGTACTTCCCTACCAGGCAATTTCTGACATTTCTCTCTTACATGTAAAAATAATAATTGTTTTGCTAGAAAATGACTTAAAACCCCCAATATTATATATATTTTTTGGCAGAGACCCTAGAGAATAAAATGGTGGGTGCTGCCATTTTTTTTTGTCACATGGTATTTGCGCAGTGGTTTTTCAAACGCAATTCTTTTTTGGGGAAAAAGTAAACTTTATTGCACAAAAACACTATATAATATCTAATTTTTTGTTAAAATATAAAAGATAAATTGAGTACCAAACATGTAGCTTTAAAATTGGAATGGCGACAAATACTGTACCTAACAATCTCCATAGGCGAAGCTTTAAAAGCCTTTACAGGTTACCAGTGCAGAGTTACACATGGGGGTCTGGAACTAGAATTATTGATCTCGCTCATACGTTCGTGACGATAAGTGTGGTGCGATCTCCATTTACATATGCGCATGGGAATTGCGTATGCATTTGCACGGGGGGGGGGGGGGGGGGGCACTTACATTATTTTTATTTGAAATTTTGTTTTACGCTGTCTCTTTAATTTTTTTTTTTCTATCAACTTTATTGCTTTCACAAGGGATGCACATAATTTTTGTGGAGAGATCTGAGATCTATTAGACCCCAAATCTCTCCCCTGGCCTCCAATGCAGCCAATCAGACACAGATCGATCTGATCAGATGCTTTTCTGGCCGCTAACGGAGTCTCTTTACATCCGACCGCCCATAGAGGAAAGCGGGCTGTGTCTGTATCCGCTCTGCATAAGCGGAGCAGACACAGACCTGTCATCTGCCTGCTAAGCGGTAATCAGCGGACAGATCCCCCACTGAGCGGAGTCCACTCTTATGAAAGGGGCCATAAAGAGCTGGGAGCTCAAAATCCCATGAAAATACAGTCTTGCAATGGATAGGTGTGCACTCTTGCAGGATCTCCAGCTTCCAACTCTGCCGGGAAACGGTGACGTTAATCATGCCTCACAGGAGGCCAGGGTGGAGATTTGAATTTTCATTTTGGGTGAATGGTTTGTCTTTGTGTTGGGGGGGGGGGGGGGGTTTTCTGGCTAAAATGCAGAACTGCTATTTGCCATGGGAGGGAACGGCATGCAACGCCAAGCTGCAGCAAGCAAAGCTAGAAGAATATTAGCATGCATATAAAAGGGTATTAACTCCAGAGATAAGACAATATTCCTGACACTGTAAAACTCTGCTTCTGCCACATCTGGAGTATGCCATCCAGTTCTGGTCACCAGTCCATGGGAAGAATTGGAAAGAGTCCAGAGAAGGCCAACAAACTTTATAAGGGGACTGGATGACCTCAGTTACAAGTAATGACTATAAACATTAAAGTGTTACTAAACCCCGGACCCTGCATTCACTATATCCACTCTCCCCGGACCCTGTATTCACTATATCCACTCTCCCCGGACCCTGCATTCACTATATCCACTCTCTCCCCGGACCCTGCATTCACTATATCCACTCTCCCCGGACCCTGCATTCACTATATCCACTCTCCCCGGACCCTGCATTCACTATATCGGTCTCCTCGGACCCTGCATTCACTATATCCGGTCTCCCCGGACCCTGCATTCACTATATCCAGTCTCCCGGGACCCTGCATTCACTATATCCGGTCTCCCTGGACCCTGCATTCACTATATCTGCTCTCCCTGGACCCTGCATTCACTATATCAGGTCTCCCCAGACCCTGCATTCACTATATTTGGTCTCCTCGGACCCCGCATTCACTATATCCGCTCTCCCCGGGCAATACTTCACACCTACACTGCATTCATTATATCCGGTCTCCCCGGACCCTGCATTCACTATATCCTCTCTCCCCGGACCCCGCATTCACTATATCCGGTCTCCCCGGACCCTGAATTCACTATATCTGGTCTCCCCGGACCCTGCATTCACTATATCTGGTCTCCCCATGACCCTGCATTCACTATATCCGCTCTCCCCGGACCCTGCATTCACTATATTCGGTCTCCCCGGACCCTGCATTCACTATATCCGCTCTCCCGGGACCCTGCATTCACTATATCCTGTCTCCCCGGACCCTGCATTCACTATATCCGCTTTCCCAGGACCCTGCATTCACTATATCCGGTCTCCCCGGACCCTGCATTCACTATATCCGCTCTCCCCGGACCCCGCATTCACTATATCCTCTCTCCCCGGACCCCGCATTCACTATATCCGGTCTCCCCGGACCCTGAATTCACTATATCTGGTCTCCCCGGACCCTGCATTCACTATATCCGGTCTCCCCGGACCCCGCATTCACTATATCCGGTCTCCCCGGACCCTGCATTCACTATATCCGCTCTCCCCGGACCCCGCATTCACTATATCCTCTCTCCCCGGACCCCGCATTCACTATATCCGGTCTCCCCGGACCTGAATTCACTATATCTGGTCTCCCCGGACCCTGCATTCACTATATCCGGTCTCCCCGGACCCCGCATTCACTATATCCGCTCTCCCTAGACCCTGCATTCACTATATCCGCTCTCCCCGGACCCCGCATTCACTATATCCGCTCTCCTCGGACCCTGCATTCACTATATCCGGTCTCCCTGGACCCTGCATTCACTATATCCGCTCTCCCGGACCCTGCATTCACTATATCCGCTCTCCCTGGACCCTGCATTCACTATATCCGGTCTCCCACAGTACACAGAACATGGAAATTAAATTATTTCAGTAATATATAAACTGTTAAATACCTTTTTCTCATCATCAGTTAGAGCAGTTTTGTTACTTCTATCAGTGTCCAACTTAGCACTGGTAAAGCTTGTAGAAGGAGTTTTCATTCTTCTGTCAATGTCTTTTGAGGCTGCATAATCCCTGACCCTCTGTCTGGACAGTGCTGATTGGCCCTGTGTTGATCCCATGCATTCTCTCAAGAAAAAAAAAAAAAAATCTCTCTAGCAATACACACCAAAACTGAGCATGTGCAGCACCCCCCAAGGCTCTATTCTAACAGCAGATGGATTGAGGAGTAGAAGAAGGGGAAGATCCCAGAAGTCAGGATTAAACAGCCTTTATACACAATGCGGAGGATTAACCCCTTAGGTTCCACAGTGAGTATAAACAAGCATGCTTTACTGCATCTACAGACTGATTGTACTGTTGGGGGGTTTAGTAACACTTTAAACTTATTCTCCCTGGACAAGAGACGCTTGAGAAGGAATATGAAAGCGATATACAAATACCTCAATGGTGATTCTAGTATAGGGAATAGACTATTCAGTCTAAGGGAGTATAATCAGACATGGGGCCACTTAATGAAACTGGAGGAGCAGCGGGTTCACCTCAAACTGTGTAGAGGCTTTTTTACTGTCAGAGTGCTGAGGATGTGGAACTCCCTTCCACAATTGGTGGTATCAGTGGGACGTATTGATAGTTTAATGAAAAAACTCTTAGATGGGTATCTTTATGAACACAATATACAGGGATATGATTTTTGACATGAGCACACACCCACATAGGTTGAGCTGGATGGACTGGGGTCTATATTCAACCTTACCAACCATGTGACTATGAGGTTTGCTTTAAAGTGGTTATTTAGGCGCACCCTGAAAACCCATCTCTTCATGGAAGCCTACCCCACCCCCTGCTAACTTGCCGACCTCCTCCACTCTTCCCACCACTCCATCCCCCACAGCTATCTCCTCCTGTGCCACCACCCCCTCCCTCCTAGATTGTAAGCTCCAAAGAGCAGGGCCCTCGATCCCCTCATGTTTTGCATTGTATTGGTATTGTTCTGTCACATGTTCTGTCCCCCTCTGTAATGTACAGCGCTGAGCCAACTATTGGCGCTTTATAAATACTGTATAATAATAATAATAAACCCAAAAGTACATTTTTATTATTTTGCAGCTTACCAATTCTTAGATGTGGCGTTTGCATTAGTTTTCTTTCTTTGGCTTTCTTTCTTCTATTTTCATCTGGTGATCTGGCCAGTAAGTCTGTTGTTTTTCAAAAGAACATGCTGACCTGCAGATGGATCAGTTTACAGAGATGAGAAAAACCATTTAGCAGTGACGGGTGCTTACAATGATCATGTTATTTATTTTTGTAAAAACTTTATCCCCAAAGGAAAAAAACTGTTTGCTGTAACTAAATATAAAGTGTGAACTGGAGTTTGCCTTCAATTTGGTAGTGTATTTGAATCTGCTAGTCCATCCAACATGCCCCCTCCTCCCAAACTGGCAATGGTGCTCTCCAAAGGTGCCTCCAGTGCTCCTTCATCCAGAGTGGGGGCGCTCTAATGCAGGTGTGTTACTGGTTAAATCACCAGGTGAGGACAGAAAAAAAAGAAAACTAACACAGTCGCCGCCACATCTGATGATTGGTAAGCTGCAATTGATTACATTTTTGGTTTAATATTGCCTTAGGGCAGGGCTGGGCAACTGTGTCCCTCCAGCTGTTGTAGAACTACAAGTCCCATGAGGCATTGCAAAACTGACAGTTACAAGCATGACTCCCAAAGGCAGAGGCATGATGGGACTTGTAGTTCACCAACAGCTAGAGGGCCACAGTTGCCCACCCCTGCCTTAGGGTGACCTGTACAAGGGGGAATGCAGTCATAAACTGGACTGAAATCTAGAAGCCTGGTTCTGAATGGTGCCATGACTGTATGTACATTGTTGCATGTTCTAAGTTTCCTGCCCTGTGTGCGACAGCTCGGAACTGCGGGCGCAGAACGCGGAGTACAGGGCGCTGTGTCAGGCCGCTGAGGTGGAAAGGGATCGGCTGATGGAGCTGGTGTCAGTTCTGCAGAGGAGGGCGGAGGAGAGCAACACGAAGGTCCTGGAAGCTGAGAAGGTTTTGCAGGAAGAGAGGAGACGCTGCGTTCACCTGGAGCAACAGCTGGAGAAGACAAAGATGGACGCCGCAAAGAATGGTGCCACCCAAAAGATGTCTGCTCGTGGCAAAGCTGGTATGACAGCCCAGTGGTGGGCCCTGACCAGGGGCAGACTGACAACTCATGGGGCCCCCGGGCAATAGGGGATCATGGAGCCCGTGTCCTTGCCCAAACTCAAAAAAGCCTATGAAAAAGGTACTAGGGGCATCTCTCATGGGGCCCCCTACTGACCCCGGGCCCTCGGGCGGTGCCCGAGTTTCCAAGTGGTCAGTCTGCCCCTGGCCCTGACATGGTTGTTGGTTGCTAGCAAGCAAGCTGTTATCTCTCTGTTTCTGTTCTTACCTCTGCTTCACTCAAAACAATAGAAGAACTCAACTTCTCATCATTGATCATTAAAGAGAACCTGTCACTAGTTTGAGTTCCTGCCTAAGAGCCAGTCATTGGAGGTGCCTGCTCTGAAGAGCCAGTGGGATCCTCTCCTCTGATATTGGTTTCACTTTGTTGCTAAGGGTTCCAGTTTCTTGAGCAGCCAGATACTCGACTCTGGTTATTTCTCGTAGATGTAAGCTCTGCGTATTTATCCCCCCGCTATCACTGCGCCCTAATTCACCACTAAGTCACTCTGACTGGATAGGAGGGTAATAAGTGGGCGGGGTTTCCTTCTGAAGGGTGGAACCTTGCGGCATCTTCTGTTAGGCAGGATTTTTACTTTCAAAAAGTTCACTTTAAACAACTTAAAGCTAAGTTTAATGAATATAAAAAAAAAAATTTAATCAGCACAAGGGACTGTACTTACATTGCATTAGACGTGTCCCTTGTGCTGGTGGCTGCTGTCTTAGTTAAAATCAGACCCATCTCCCTGCAGCGGTAATCTTTCGGTTCTTATGGTGGGCATAGCTGGTGACTATGAGCAGCCCAGCAGCTGTAATAGCTCCCGCAGCACCAGGAGATTACTGCTGCAGGGGTAGTGGGGGGGGGGAGGAGTAGAAGCAGAGGACTTGCATTTCAACTTAGAGAGTGGCCACCAGCCAGGAATCGCCTGCATTGCATAGAGATCTGTTGATGAGTCTAAAATTAGAAATGTTTTATTTAAAATTTCTAGCATGTTGTTGACGTGACAGGGAAGAAGCAGAGAATGTAAAATATAAGCAGATCGAACTTCAAATTTAATAGGCAAGATCCTCTTTAAAGGATAATAACCTTCAGAACATGTTACACATTCCACCCATATTTAAGGATGAAACATGGAACCCATTCCAACTCCTGCCACCTCTCCCCCAATCCCTCTTACCCTCCCATTCCAACTCCTGCCACCTCTCCCCCAATCCCTCTTACCCTCCCATTCCAACTCCTGCCACCTCTCCCCCAATCCCTCTTACCCTCCCATTCCAACTTCTGCCACCTCTCCCCCGTTCCCCCTTACTCTCCCGTTCCAACTCCTGCCACATCTCCCCCGATCCCCCTTACCCTCCCATTCCAACTCCTGCTGTCTCTCCCCCGTTCCCTCTTACCCTCCCATTCCAACTTCTGCCGCCTCTCCCCCGATTCCCTTTACCCTCCCATTCCAACTTCTGCCGCCTCTCCCCCGATCCCCCTTACCCTCCCATTCCAACTCCTGCCACCTCTCCCCCAATCCCCCTTACCCTCCCATTCCAACTCCTGCCGCCGCTCCCCCGTTCCCCCTTACCCTCCCATTCCAACTCCTGCCACCTCTCCCCCGATCCCCCTTACACTCCCATTCCAACTTCTGCCGCCTCCCATTCCCCCGCCGCCTCTCCCCCCAATCCCCCTTACCCTCCCATTCCAACTCCTGCCCACCTCTCCCCAATCCCCCTTACCCTCCCATTCCAACTCCTGCCGCCTCTCCCCCGATCCCCCTTACCCTCCCATTCCAACTTCTGCCCCCTTACCCTCCCATTCCAACTCCTGCCACCTCTCTTCCCCCGATCCCCCCTGCCACCCCCCCTTACCCTCCCATTTCCACTCCTGCCGCCTCTCTCCCAATCCCCCTTACCCTCCCATTCCAACTCCTGCCGCCTCTCCCCCAATCCCTCTTACCCTCCCATTCCAACTCCTGCCACCTCTCCCCCCTTACTCTGTGCCAGTGGGTGGGAGTCCTTCTCCCCCCCCCAGCTTTCACCTTTTGAAAAGAGCATGGCTGTGAGCGACTCCACCCACACAGCCACATCATTCATTCATAGTTTCCTGTGAATGGATACACTACACAGCGCCTTGAAAAAATATTCATACCACTTGAAATTTTCCACATTTTGTCATGTTACAACCAAAAACGTAAATTTATTTTATAGGGATTTGATGTGATCGACCAACACAAAGTGGCACATAATTGTGAAGTGGAAGGAAGATCAGAAATGGTTTTTAAATTTTTTTACAAATACATTTGTGAAAAGTGCGGCGTACATTTTTATTCAGCCCCCCGCAATCAATACTTTGTAGGACCCCCTTTCGCGGCAATTCCAGCTGCAAGTCTTTTTGGGGTTGTCTCTACCAGCTTTGCACATCTAGAGAAGGACATTTCTGCCCATTCTTCTTTGCAGAATCGCTCAAGCTCTGTCAGATTGGATGGAAAGCATCTGGGAACAGCAATTTTCAGGTCTGGCCATAGATTCTCAATTGGATTTATGTCTGGAATATGACTGAGCCATTCTGACACATGAATATGATTTGATCTAAACCACAGGTCTCTAAATTGCAGCCCCCGGGCCGGATGTGGCCCTTTGCTTGCCTTTATCTGGCCCTTGGAGCACTACTTCTTCCACTAATATGAGACACTAGTCTTTCCACTGACACCAAAAATAGGACACTATTCCTCCCATTGATACCAATGATGGGGCACTATTCCTCCCACTGACACCAATGATGGGGCACTATTCCTCCCACTGACACCAATGATGGGGCACTATTCCTCCTACTGATACCAATGATGGGGCACTATTCCTCCCACTGACACCAATGATGGGGCACTATTCCTCCCACTGATACCAATGATGGGGCACTATTCCCCCCACTGACACCAATGATGGGACACTATTCCCCCCACTGATACCAATGATGGGGCACTATTCCCCCCACTGATACCAATGATGGGACACTATTCCACCCACTGACACCAATGATGGGGCACTATTCCTCCCACTGATACCAATGATGGGGCACTATTCCCCCCACTGACACCAATGATGGGACACTATTCCCCCCACTGATACCAATGATGGGGCACTATTCCTCCCACTGATACCAATGATGGGGCACTATTCCCCCCACTGACACCAATGATGGGGCACTATTCCTCCCACTGACACCAATGATGGGGCACTATTACTCCCACTGATACCAATGATGGGGCACTATTCCTCCCACTGACACCAATGATGGGGCACTATTCCCCCCACTGACACCAATGATGGGACACTATTCCCCCCACTGATACCAATGATGGGGCACTATTCCTCCCACTGATACCAATGATGGGGCACTATTCCTCCCACTGATACCAATGATGGGACACTACTCTCACTGACACTGATGATGGGGCACTATTCCTCCAACTGATAACAATGATGGGGGAATTTTCCTCCAACTGACACCAGTGATGGGGCACTATTCCTCCCACTGATACTAATGATGGGGAACTATTCCTATTACTAGTACCAAACATGGGGCACTATTTTCCTCCCACTAATACCACAGACAGGGCACTATTCCTCCAAATGGCACAAGAGATGTAATTTTTTTACTCCCACTGACCACCAAGCCTATGGCATTGTTTACTTCCACTAATGCCAAGGCATTTTCGACTCTCGCTGGCCACAGTCCGGCCCCCCTAATATATGAAGGGCAGTAAATTGGCCCCTTGTTTCAAAAGTTTGGAGACCCCTGATCTTAACAATTTCATTGTAGTTCTGGCTGTATGTTTGAGGTCGTTGTCCTGCTGGAAGGTGAACCTCCGCCCCAACCTCAAGTCTTTTGCAGACTCTAACAGGTTTTCTTCTAAGATTGCCCTGTATTTGGCTCCATCCATCTTCCCATCAACTCTGACCAGCTTCCCTGTCCCTGCTGAAGAAAAGCATCCCCACAATATGATGTTGCCACCACCATGTTTCACGGTGGGGATGGTGTGTTCAGGGTGATGTGCAATGTTAGTTTTACCACACATAGCATTTTGCTTTTAGGCCAAAAAAGTTCCGTTTTAGTCTCCTCTGACCAGAGCCCCGTCTTCCACATGTTTGCTCTGTCCCCCACATGGCTTCTCACAAACTGCAAACAGGACTTCTAATGGCTTTCTTCCAACAAGGACTTTCTTCTTGCCACTCTTCCATAAAGGCCAGATTTGTGGAGTGCACGACTAATAGTTGTCCTGTGGACAGATTCTCCCACCTGAGCTATGGATCTCTGCAGCTCCTCCAGAGTTCCCATGGGCCTCTTGGCTGCTTCTCTGATGAATGTTCTCCTTGCCCGGCCTGTCAGTTAAGGTGGACGGCCATGTCCTGGTAAATCTTGCAGTTGTGCCATACTTTTTCCATTTTCGGGTGATGGATTGAACAGTGAGATGTTTTTATAACCTAACCCGGTATTAAACTTCACAACTTTATCCCTGACCTGCCTGCTGTGTTCCTTGACCTTCATGATGCTGTTTGTTCACTAATGTTCTCTAACAAACTTCTGAAGGCTTCACGGAACAGCTGGATTTATACTGAGATTAAATTACACACAGGTGGACTCTATTTATTAATTAGGTGACTTCTGAAGGCAATTGGTCAAACTAGATTTTACTTAGGGGTATCATAGTAAAGGGGGCTGAATACAAATGAACGCACACTTTTCAGATATTTATTTGTAAAAAAAATGTTGAAAACCATTTCTCATTTTCCTTCCATTTCACAATTATGTGCCACTTTGTGTTGGTCTATCACATCAAATCCCAATAATATACATTGACGTTTTTGGTTGTAACACAACATAATGTGGAAAATTTCAAGGGGTGTGAAGACTTTTCCAAGGCACTGTATAGTCCACTAACATGTCCTTTGGGTTACAAACAGAAAGCCCCTACAGAGTTACGGGCTGAAAGTCGGAGGACACGTTTACAGGAGTCTGACATTGCACTCATGATCTACTGATCGCAAGTGCAATGCTTTCCCGGCTCCTGCTGGAAAATATAATAAATGCACTTTTTTCCCAGCAAAAATAAATGCATTTTTATTTTTTCTGTATAGGCGAACTTAGCCTTTAAATTAATTGTGGAAGAAAAATTGGAGAGTGCAGAATCTGGGAGCCAATCAGCTTCTAACTTCAGCTTGTTTAATTAAACTTTGGCAATAAAACCTGGAAGCTGATTGGTCTCTATGCAGAGCTGCACCAAGTTTTTCACTCTCCGGTTTTAGTAAATAACCTCCATTGTTTTGCTCATTCATTAGGCGGTTAGAGGCAGAGATCCGACTAACTTGATATAATCTCAGTGGGTGGCTTATTTGGGCCCTCACAGTACATGGACGGTAAATGGTATTGGTCTGACAGATCTGCATGGGGCCAGGCAGGGGCGGACTGACCATTTGGAAACTCGGGCACTGCACGAGGGCCCGGGGTCAGTAGGGGGCCCCATGAGATACCCCTGGTACCTTTTTCATAGGCTTTTTTGAGTTTGGGCAAGGACACAGGGGCCCCATGGTCCCCTATTGCCCGGGGGCCCCATGAGTTGTCAGTCCGCCCCTGGGGCCAGGTTTAGGGAATCCGAAAACTCTGGTATATCTAACAGGTTCACTTTAAAGAGTAACTCCACTTTTGTTGAGAAAAAAAAGATCTCCCTCTCTGGGTGATCTGTGTACATTGCAGGGATTTTAACAAACTTTGTTGCAGATTCCTACCTTTTGTTGTTCTGCAGAAATCGCTATTTGTCTGAGTCCATCTCTATGGGAGTGACTTTGTAATTATCAATCAGCTGCTGCACCTGCAGGGATCTAATGAGGAAAGTGACAGGGTCTGCATCCCTTCAAGGCTTGATTTCTCTTTGGAAGTATCTCACCAGAAATGACATTTTTGTTGCAGGGGATGCACAAAATCAGATTTGTATCTTAGAGCAGACTTATGGGAAAATCAGTGAGCCAATCACACAAGCAGGAAATGACATTTCTGGGGGGCGTTCTGTATGCCATACATGTACAGAAAGCCTCCAGGCTGATATATTGCATAGTATTTTACAGAAAATTACAGAGCTGCAGATTGAAAAGGAAAGGTAATTTTTGATTACAATTGTTACACAAATCATATTGTAATTGAATGTTTACACTCTATTTTTTTTTTTTTTTATTTGCAATTTTTTTCTCACAAAAGTGGAGGTACCCTTTAAGTAACAGGCTGCCTTGTGTGCAATCTCCATGTCCATTGTCTACTCGCTCCTGTATATACTGAATGCTCCCTGTGAATTACAGCCAATTTTCTCTCCACAGGACAGTCGCTCAGCAACTCCCGACTCTTTCTGAATTTCAATGAAATCTCCGATTCATCCTCCAGTGTGCCACTGGAGACGCAACTTGAGGAACTCAGCATAAAGTAAGTCCACTCTCCGCTACGTCACCGTCTGTGTTTCTGGGGCTCATGCTGTGACGTTGTGAAGGGAATGTATTCTAGATATTTTAGATATTTTCTTTTTTATTATGTTTAGGTCTCAGAAAAATAACTTTTAAAAAGGTTTCTTTTTTTAACCTTTTTGCATATGAATGAGCCTTTTCTTTACAGAATGGAATAGCTTCAAGCGAATCTTCCACGTCACCTGTGGGGGGGGGAGGGATAGATAATGTAACGAAACCGACCCAGTCTGCGCTTGGGTACTTCCGTTATAATACCGCTTCCCCGTCCGAACACCGACCACAGACACCACAGCTGACCAAACAAGACTAGACAACACCAGTCTGTCTGAACATGGAACTCTTTATTTGAAACTCGAACTGGCTTTTTATACACTCAGGGGGCAATCCCCCCTCCCTGCATAATGTCACAGGGCGGGGCAATCTACACTTAGCAACAAGAGACACACAGGTATTCAATCTTCACACCAGCAGACAGTCCCATCAGGAGGGAGGACTGCTGGAGACACCCTCCCACTAAGCTAATACACATAAACACATACATCCCATAATAGTTTGCTCCCAAGCAAGACACACAATAGAACAATGGGATGCAACCACATGGCATTAAACAATTAACCCCCCTACCCCAATATTAGAACAGATCATCCTGTACCCCTAACAGGCACAGGGTGACTTACACATAATAGGGATATGGGGAGCTGAGACAGGGGTCTCCCCACCTTTCTAAAGTGAGCTGTGTTCCATGGGTCCCGCACCCAAAGTGACTCCCATCACAGATAATATACTTGCCTTTCCCCAAATTCCCCCTGCAGTGCTTAGGCGGGGGTGACGTCATCCTGCTTCTGCCCAGATCGTGGAGAATGTTGAGTAGGAGAAGATAACCCTGCACTGTGCTACAAGATTTGTGCTACTCAGAATTCCAAGAGATATGGCCAGAAGCAGGATGACGTCACCTTCGCCTAGCCGCTGTGGGAGGAAGTCAAGGAAAAGTAATATATTATCTATTTCCCACTTACAGGTACTTTTAGGCCTCATGCACTTTTAAGAGTGTTTTGACCTTTTTTTGGGGTTTTTTTCTTTATAAACGCCCCTCCAGGGTTAGTCTATGGGGTTGATTTAGTAAAGTCGAATAGTCTGTGCACTTTGCAAGTGCAGTTGCTCCAGAGCTTGGTAAATGAGGCAAAAAATACCCAATCACATGCAAGCAACATAAAAAAACAGCATTTTTGCTTGCTCATGATTGGATAATAGAAGTCAGCAGAGCTCCCTCTCATTTACTAAGCTCTGGAACAACTGCACTTGCAAAGTGCACAGTCACTTTACCTTTAGTAAATCAACCCCTATGTGTCCATGCACACATAGGTATTTCAAAGCAGAAAAACATACCGGGGCCAGTGCATTCAGGAGAGCAGCATTTTGCTGCTAAAAAATGCCGATGCACATAATTGCGTCTAAACGCGCGTTATCGCTAGGTGCATTTAGCACTTGAGTTCATTTCAGTGGATAGAATAAATAAATATTCTGGCCAATGGAATGAATTAACTCTCAAGCGCTTGATGCGCCTAAACGGGTCTAAACGTGTTTACAAAAACGTGGCTTTTAGGCGCATTTTTTTCTCATACCAGGAGAAAGGCGTTTAGAAGACATTAGCAAACATTAGCACTTTAGGGAGGAGGAGGGGGGTACCTTGCAGTAGGGGACCTTTTCACTGAGATGGAACCTGAAGCTAAGATTACGCACACAGCTTACCCCCGGTTCACACCTATGCGGCAGTGCGAGACGAGTTTTGCACAGGCACGAGAGCCCATTCATTTGAATGGACTCCCGTGCCCGTGACACGCAGGGAGTCCCTGCACTTCTTTGGAAAACGCAGCCCGCGCGGGAACCTCGGTTCCCAGTACGGTTGCGTTTTCCAGTGTGGGCGGCATGCCATTAGAACTAATGCCACCCGCCCATGGAACCGCAATTCTCTGTGCGGGTGGTGCGGATCCACAGCGGCACCACCCGCACAGATGTGAACCTAGGGTAAGTCACAGCAGTGACTCCTCCCCTGTGCTACAGGTCCATACCAAATTTAATTTATGTAGAAAGTCTGAAAGCTAAACACCCTTTGCTGTGAACTGTAATATAATATAAAATTGCAGTGCGGGTCGTTTTGTAATAAAAAAGCCATTTTGTGCTTTGCCCATTCAGGTTCACGTTAATGCCCGTTCCCCCAGGAGCACAAGCTCACTCTTCCTTCCCTCCCCTATCACTCCATTCTTGTAGCAGAATGATGACTTTATCAGTGTGCTTTTTTCTCTTTCATCGTCCAATCAGCAGGCTGAGGGCTGGTCAGTGACCAACCAATACTGCAAGAAAAAAGCTGGGTCAGGTGTTGTAAAGCACAACTTCAGCCTGTCACCCACCACCTACCTCTCCCATCTTCCGAATCATCCGCTCGCCTTTTTAATTTAAAAAAAAACAAAAACCCTATACCTACCTTTTTCCTGCATGTAGCCCATCTCTTGACATCACTGCAGCTCCTGCTTCTTACTCCGCTTATGTGTGGGGGCATTTTTCTAGGATGAAGCCGTGCCCTTGTAATGAAGCATGAGTGCCGCTCAGTCCTAAAGTTCTGTGAGCCCAGCCTGCTTGATGATATGCCCCCTGGAAGTGCAGACTGGGCTCACAGGAAATGGGCAAGTCTGAGGAGGTGCTGGACCAAGCAGGAAGCCAGTGGCTGCTGGAGCATAGAGAAGGTAAGTAGAGTTTGGCAATATTTTATTTTCCATATAGGATGGGGGGGGGGGGGGGAGTGGAATCCTAAAATAGAAAAATAAAAACAATAAATAAATAAATGATTGCAGTTCTTATGCAATTAAAATAAATAGTGTAGCGCTAATAATACTAACAAATTACATGTTAAAATGCACAAACTCTATATACATCCCCTACATATATATATCCGAGGCGATAAATCAATACATAAATAATAAAATAGTTGTGTCATACGTGAATTCCCTCACGGGGAATATTTAGTGAAAAAAGTGACAAACACACTCCTATTTGCACATTGTGAAACAACATGTATACTGGTGCACAAAATTAGTGAACAAATAATCAATTCAAAAATGTCAGGACAGGGGCCGATGAACGGACAGGCAGGCCTAACAATGTAACGCACTGGCTGACGACAACCACCACCCACAGACCGAAGTCCCTCAGGGCGCGGAGTCTAAGTCCCAGGCTGCCCTTCACCAGGGCCCCTGATGGTGGGGATGGACTTGACGCAGCCAGGAACCAGGTCGCGGCCCCCGAGACACCTCAGCTGCGGTAATGGCCGCCGCCAATGGCGTGTAGCTGGTGGAAGAGACAAAAGAGTAGTCAGACAAGCCGGGTCAACAACAACAGGACAAAACAGTACAGGACAGCAGACGAGAATCACAGGTCACAAGCCGGGTTCAGCAACAGAGGGTCAGATCAAAGGAGAATACAAAGAATAGTCAAGTCACAAGCCGAATCAGATACCAGGAGAGTCACGAGAGTCAGAACAGAGTAATAGCAACACAAAGACACAAGACACAAGTGCAAAGAGCATGTGCGGGCCACAGGCTTATATGTCATCAGCCACACCCCTCTGGGGGATGGACCACAGAGACCTGAAGGCATAAAAGGATTCCCACCATGCACAGCAGAATCCAAGATGGACGCCAGCACATGGAGTAACATAACCTCAGGGAAAAGGTAGGACCTTGACAAAAAAGTCCAAAATGATATAATAATAGTAATACGATAATTTGTGATGATCCTCACACTTCACTCTTCATACAAGAATATATCAGGGACCCTGATGAAGTCACGAGGTGGGCATGGCGCAACGCGTCGGTACGTGGGGAGGAGCTTCCGGTGACATCATTTCCGGCGTGGGGGCCATATTGGATCACCCTGTTGAGTACACCCATGCAGTACACCCATAGCATGTGGTAAAAAGCTGGAAAACTCGTGGGCAAATGTGAGTGTAATACTTATTGTCGTTTTAAATTTGATGCAATAAAAACCGGTTGCACTATGGAGGGTCTCTGCTTGTATCTTATCATGATCCTGTGAGGATCTGGCTGTTAGTCTGTTGGAGGCCGGAGACGTGAGGGGAAAGCCTGAGAGGGATCCATTCTGATAGGATCACTTGATCTTCAAAGCGTGTTGACCCTGTGGGGTCTAATGAAGGAGGCGAGGGGGTATTTTGGCTGGTAAAGGATTGGCACGTGTGTACCACGTATACGGCACATTATATATTCTTGCATGAAGAGTGAAGTGTGAGGATCATCACAAATTATCGTATTATTATTATTATATCATTTTGGACTTTTTGAATTGATTATTTGTTCACTAATTTTGTGCACCAGTATACATATTGTTTCACAATGTGCAAATAGGAGTGTGTTTGTCACTTTTTTTCACTAAATATTCCCCGTGAGGGAATTCACGTATGACACAACTATTTTATTATTTATGTATTGATTTATCGCCTCGGATATATATATGTAGGGGATGTATATAGAGTTTGTGCATTTTAACACGTAATTTGTTAGTATTATTAGCGCTACACTATTTATTTGAATTGATCATTCACTTACTTGGGTATAAGTTTGGTGTCGGCAGCTTTTGAAGGATAGGATTCCATTTAAGCGCAGGAGGTTGTTTTTGGAATTTTTTGTAGTTCTTATGCAATGCTCACTTCAGCGTGCTGTGGATACCGCTGCTCTGCCTTTACCCATTTCTCTCATTTTGAATATCGCCTCGACATTTCAGGCTGGAAATAAAAGTAGATGAAAACGAAGCTCTGAAATCGGCTCTAAAGAGCGCCTTGAAAACGAAGGAGGATGACCTGAAACTCTACAATGAGATGATG